TGTGCCAGGGATGGCGGGTGCTGGGTGAGTGATGGTGGGTACTGGGCCAGGGATGGTGGGTGCTAGGCCAGGGATGGTGGGTACTGGGTGAGTGATGGTGGGTACTGGGCCAGGGATGGTGGGTGCTGGGGGGTACGGGTGGGCCCCAGAATTTCTGCTGCAGCCCCCCTGGAGCTGGTAACACCCCTCAACCTGCCCAGGTGAGACTGCGGGGCCATATTGCACCGGCAAAGCCCTGGACGCCATCCGGAGCGGGGAGGGTCCCACCGCCTACACCCTTGGCCTCGTCCTCGCTGCCAGTTTGGGCAGGTAGGAGGGTCCTGGTGTCCCCCTTGTCTGTCCATCTGTCTGTCTCCCAAGGCTGGGCTGACAGGGGGTCTCGGTGTCCGTGCCCCCCTCCCCCAGCTCGCTGTTTGCCGGGTGCCGTGGGGGGCTCTTCACCTTGGCCCAGGCCCGGCTCACGCTCAGCACCCGCCACCGGCTCTTCTCCCGCTTGGTGCACCAGGACCTCGCCTTCTTCCTGGGGACACCAGCAGGGAGGGAAAGTCCCCAGTCCCCCTGAAAGGAACATCTGAATGCTGCCAACTGGCCACCAGACACTTCTACACCAGCAACTCACCACAAGGACAACTCTACACTATGACATCATTTGTGACACTGAAAATTAGCAATGAGATAAAGGCTGGAGAGTGCCCAGCACCCTGGGCACTGGTGGTCACCAGTCAACACCAGTGCTCCCAGTCCAGCCCCCCAGTGCCAGTCTAGGTCCCAAAGATCTTGCTGAGCACCCTGAGGTGCTCACCAGTGCTCCCAGTTCAGCCACTTCAGGTCCCCAAGGCCCTGCCCAGAAACCTGGGGCACTCACCAGTCTCATTTATTAATCCCATAATAATACTAATTAATAAAAAACCCGAACAATTTCATAATCTTTAATTATAATATTTAATCTTGATATTTAATAATAACAGGCACCATCTGGCAATTGGTGGCCAGTTGTCCAGTGTAGAGTTGCCCACAGAGAGTTAGTTGCTGCAGGCAGTTGGCAGTGGCTGGTTGTCCTGGCCCCTTCCCACCCACCCCCAGGACCCCTCACCCCCCCACTGACCCTTCCCCACCCCCACAGCTGAGCTCTCTGCCCGGCTGGCCAATGAGGTGCCCCTGCTGTGCAATGCAGTGCCACACAGCGCCAACGTGGCCCTGCGGAGCCTGGGGACGGCGGTGGGGTTGGGCATCTTCATGGTGGGGCTCTCACCCCGCCTGGCGCTGCTGGCGCTGCTGGAGGTGCCCCTCGCCATCGCCGCACGCAGGGCCTACGACGCCCGGTACCAGGTGAGAGGGTGGGGGGTGGTGGAGTGGAATGGTGGGAATAGAAGGGGGTGGGATTGTGAGATGGAGACCAGGAAGATGGGAAGAGTGGGGAGGGGATGATGGGAAGGGGATCAGGGGGATGGGATGGTGAGAATAGGTTGGAATGGGATTGTGAAATGGAGACTAGAAAGATGGGATGGTGAGAATGGGAAGAGTGGGGAGGGGATGATGGGAAGGGGGATCAGGGGGATGGGACGGTGGGAACAGGTTGGGATGGAATGGGATTGTGAGATGTGGACCAGGGAGATGAGATGCTGGGAATGGGAATCAGATGAATGGGATGGGACGTGATGGTGGGAATAGGTTGGAATGGAATGGGATTGTGAGATGGGAACCAAGGAGAAGGGATGGTGGGAATGTGAATAGTGTGGAGGGGATGTTGGGAAGAACACCAGGCAGATGGGATGTGATGATGAGATGGGATGGCATGGTGGGGAGAGGATCAGGGAGATGGGCTGGGGTGGTTGAGAATAGTGCTGGGATGGAATGGAATGGAATGGGATGGAATGGAATGGGATGGAATGGAATGGGATGGAATGGAATGGAATGGAATGGAATGGAATGGAATGGAATGGAATGGAATAGAATGGGATGAGATGGAGGGATGGAGACCAGGGAGCTGGGAAGGTGGGAATGGTGGGGAGGGGATGGGCCAATGGGAATGAGATAGGATGGGAAGGGGATCAGGAATATAGATGGGATGGTGGGATGAAGACCAGAGAAATGGGATGGAAGAGGATGGTGGGAACAGTGATGGGATGGAATAGGATGGAATGATAGGATGGAAACAAGTGAGATAGCATGAATGGAAGAGTGGGAACAGGATGGTGTGAAGGGGATTGGGAGATGGGATGAGAAGGTGGAATGGAATGGTGTAATGAAGACCAGGGAGATGGGATGGTAGGAACAGGGTGGTGGGGATGGGGTAGGGTACCAGGATAGGGACAGGGTGGGATTGTGAGGCCGGGATGGGAACAGGATGGTGGCAATGAGAATGGTAGGGACGGGAATGGGTGATGGGGATGGAGACCACAGGGATGATGAGGACAAGATGGAATGGGACAGTGGGGCTGAGATGGCGAAATGAGGAGAGAGTGGTGGGATTGGGTGGGATGACTGGCTGGGGACTGGGGTGATGGGATGGTGGGATTGGGAATGGTGGGGACAGAATGGGATGGTGGAGACAGAATGGGACCATGGGAATGAGATGGTGGGAAAGGGAATGGTGGGATAAGGACAGTGAGGACAGGATGGTGGAATGGGGATAATGGGAGGGGACAGTGGGGCTGGGATGATGGGATGGGGAGTGGGGGGACAGAATGGTGATATTGGGAATGATGGGGATGGGCTGGGGTGGTGGAGATGGGGACAGGGGAATGGGATAATGTCAACAATCTAGACAAGATGATGGGATGAGGACAGGGAGATGGGGTGGGCTGGTGGGATGGGGACATGATTAGATGGTGTGGATAGAGGAGACTAGAATGGGGACAGGGAGACTGGACAGAATGGGGAGGATGGGATGGTGGAGACAGGATCACGGCAGGATGAGGAGGACTGGAATTGGGACAAAGATAACAGGATGGGACAGTGGGGATGGGACTATGGGATGGGGACTAGGAGGATGGGATGGTAGGATGGGGGTGGAGGGGAGGGGGTCAGTGGTGGCAGGATGGGGTAGGTGGGGATGGGGACAGCGGGGTGGGCACCCTAGGGTGGGGGGATCAGGTTGGTGGGGACATCCCGTGGGCACTGAGTCTGTCCCCCCCAGGTGCTGCAGCGAGGGGAGC